TCCTCCTTTGCAGTTACCAAAAGTCAGAGTTGTCTCTAAACTTGAAATGGTGCTGAACTGGTACGGACTGGTCTCAACGGGAAACTTTATGTTTGGTCTGTGAGACACGAAAAGGTAGTTCGGTTGTAATAAAAATAAGCATAGTCTTTTCACCTAGAAGTTTCTTGGGCATGGTACTATCCCAGTTGTTTCTTGGGACCTTTTTTTCTGGTAATTCTCTGTGAAAGCGTAAGAACGTGTAATGATACAAGCAATTTTCAGAAGAGGCAAAGTTGACAACCTGAGAAACAGGAACATGATATAGCAGAGATATCCCGAGTAAAAAGTGGTCAGTTGAAAAAGCTAAGCGTATGTTGACTGAGAAGCTGGGCTGAACAGCTGTGGAAGCACTGGATTCTGGAGGCCTACAAGCAGTGGAACAACTACACAGGACTGAGCTGCACACACCAGCTGCCATCATGTATGTTCCCACAGCGACCTGTGAACTTCTATGTGAATATATCTGTTGTTACAATTTACCTTTAGATTGCCTGCATAGTTAGTATGACTGTGTTAAACATGTTTATTAAAGCTGTCTTTTGGAAACAATTCTGATTTCTTCTAACGTTTTTTCTTTTTAGAGTATTGAATACATGTTTGGCATTGTTGGTATTCCAGTCACTGAAATTGCAATTGCAGCCCAAGCAGTTGGAATAAAATATGTAGGAATGAGAAATGAACAAGCGGTAAGTATATATCTATAGTAGGACCAGTTCTTTCTTTGAATTGTTTTATAATGGAAAGAAATTTAATTTATCTTTTCTTACCAGGAAGAATGCTGTCTCTGAATGTTCCTTTAAAGAACCTGTAGAGAAGCAGTTACTGTCCTTCTAGAATAAGGGAGCGCACTGTTGACTTGGGTTGTGTGCTTTTTTTCCCCCTTCCACTTTTAAGTGCTCCCTCCTTTTCTCATAGCGGAATTGCAACTTTTTTTTTTTTTTTTTTTTTTTCATTTTTAGATGCCTTTCTCCGATAAGGGAGAGAAGATAGCAGGGAAATAGGGAGGAAAAAAATGTGAACAAAGCATTCTACTGCAGAAAGGAAAAAATCATCAATTTTGTCTCCTTCAAGTAATATATTGTCAGATTTTATCTGACACTTTTTGGGAGGCTCATCCAGGTTTTTTGTTTTTTCTGTAGCTTTCTATAGACTTTCCATGATACCTCTCCCTTAACATTTTCTACTGTCATTTTCTTTTGCTTATGTCCTCCTTTCCAAATTAGGACAATATTACCACTCTCTCTAATTGGAGTATTTTAATTCCTTTTTTAGTGCTTTTTTTAGCTATTTTTTTCCTTTTTGTTTAAAAGGGTATTTTACTTGGGAGTTATTACATGCAGACCTAAAAAGGTAGTTTTTTCCTTTCTTGCAGTGCCCAAAGAGGAAGGTTTTGCTACCGATAAACTTGTCCTGACTATTTTCAATAATTGTAGTATCTTTTTTTCCTAACTGTGTTTTAAAAGCTCACCAGATAGCAAACCATAGAAAGTTGTGATGCTTCCGAATGTTCAAAATCAAGCACAAGCATACACTTAGACAGTCTTAATTGTATATGTTTCAGCTTTATTGTCTTAAGCATCAGAAGTTAGATTCAAGCTCATTAGCATTTTGATGTTGTGCCACTAGTTCTCCATTTGTTTGGTTTACCCCAGTAGTAACTCTTTAAACATTCAGTAGTTTCGTAGGTGGTCTGAGGTTGAGTATAATAATCTCAGGTTTATACCTGATTTTCAAGGATTGCTACACAATCTGATTCTGTATGGGACTGCTAGCAAATGGACCATCAGCTTTCCATACTCAGAGTTATTCTACTGCATTTGTCAATTTTCTATAGCTGATGCCAACAAATAAATAAATACTGTGATTATTATCTTATCAGGAGATTTTTCTTGTCTTTTAACTCATTTATGGATCCTGTCTCTCTATGAATGCTATTAATTAGAATTCTACCACTTTTAGAAGGAACTCCTTTTAATATTCTGGACCTGTACAGTATTCAGGTGGCTGTATTTTGCAGCAGTGTTCTTTTTCTGTTTTCCACCATGTAGTTCATAGCCTTCGTGCATTGTCCCAGACATCAATAAAGTATTAAAATAGAAGTTCTCCTAAATCTGGTGGTCACGAGCTGTATGTTTTGCTGTCTGATCCTTGGAATGTGAGAATTTATAGAAAAGTGCAGATCTCTATATGGAAAATCTGTAAAATGAGAGAGGCAAACATACACAAATATGATTAAAAGGTGTATTTGATTCCTTTGAAGGACTGGGAATTCAACACAGTCTTTATATTCCTGTACACCATTTAGCAAATTTTGTAGTTTTAGCATCGGTTATTAACGTGATTAAAATTAATTTTCTCATGTGTCTGCAATTAACAGAAGATTGCTTTGCACTGCCAAATGAGATGCTGTCCTATTTATCACTCTTAGTAGACTCTTTTTCGTTAGATTGAAGAAGACAAGAAGCATTCTGCTGTGTAAATGGTGAGGTACTTTTGCTTAGGGAATAACAATAACATGAAGACTTGTTTTTACATCAAAATGTCAGTGTTTCTCTTCTTTGGGGAATGGAAGATGATGAACAAAAATGTATTTTGTTTTGTTCTTTGTCCTTTGTCCTCAGTGAAGACCATTGCTTTGGCAGAGGAGAGAGTCGAAGGTTATACACGGTATATTCAAGATATACTTAGGCTTTAAACATGTCATAGTTTTAATTGTCTTAAGTTTACTGGTTGTGTGGTCTGGCTGTGGAGGATACGTATCCAGCAGCTTCCTTTATTGATGAAGACAGCTGTATATGATCTGACATATATGGAAAACAATGTTTTTCCAGGAGTTGCCTTTCTACCTCATTTCGGGGCCAGTTGTAGCAAAAGCCCATAAAACTGCAGAATAAACTGTTTGACTAGAAAAACCAAATTAAAGCATGAAGTTAAAAGCTGAGTAGTACTACCAGTATCTGTTAGCTAATCTCCCATGGCCTGCTACATGGCATAAGTTTGCTAGAAGCAGTTTAACCTGTGTCCCATGTGCCCCTTGAAGGCTATTTATGTTGAAATTCGTTAGGGGGGTGTGTTTGTGTATCTGTCCCCGGGTAATTAGAGATTACTGTGATTGTCTAGAAGACTGATGACCCAGCTCAGTGTTAAACTTCAAAAAACTCCTTTACTAGATTGTTATTCATTAACAACGCACATTGCTAATGTTTAGTTCTTAATCTCTAATAATAATTATCACTACATATTCAAAGCAATCTCTTCTTAATAATCATATTCTAAGATGGTCATAATTATACGATATGCTGGAGCTGGTGCAGTGTGGTTTACACTGATGGTACCAGCTGTCAAGGGAATCAGGCTTGAGAACCCTTCAATAAGGGCAGCTGTAGCCAAAGTGTGTGTCATTTTTCTCCACCCCTCATATTAAAGACCTCTTTTTATAAGGCATTTCAGTCTCTGAACAGCTCTTACCCCTTGTCCTCCATGCCTGGAGTATGGACTGCATGGTGCTGGATGGGTGTCACTTTCCCAGGCCAAGACAGTTGCCTTACCTCTGCACCTCTGTTGGTTGGTTTTTTTGTTCTGGGTTGGTTGGGTTTTTTTCTCCCTTGCTTAGCCGTTGCTGCTTTCCCTAGAGCAAAAGCAGTGTCTTCCCAGCTCTCAAAGTTGTGCTTTTTCAGTGACTAATAATTGGCCATCAGTAAGTTGCTTATTATTCTGGGACTGCTGCTTTCAACCTGCGTCCATTTTTTCAAGGCACTTAAGTTGCATGCCATTAAAAAAAACCATCATGTACCAAGCTCAGGTTCATACAGCAAGTTCTCATGACAAGCCCTACAGGAACATTTAACATTAGGTACAATTAACATAAGGGTTTCAGGCCTGCTTGTATGCATGGCAGCACTATTTTGACTGGGCCACTGGGCACAAAAATGCTTTACTGTTGTTTACTAGCTATGTTGTATTCATTTGCTTGTGTTTGAGGTGCAAACAGAATAATTTAATGAAACCCTGCTTAGTGTGCTTCTACTTGTATGGGAGCAACAAGCCTCTGCTTTGGCCACAGTTCAAACCCAGCACTTACAGGTGGTTGCAAACTTTGAGTTCAGTGCCTGCATCTGGACCTCCTACATTCCTTCCTAACGTTGATTGTGGGTTTGGTGGTCATTGGCATTTTATATGCCTACATCCTTCTTGCCTGCCTGAGGAAAATAAGAGTCTGGTTTCAGCTGATCAACTATGTTGTGACCTTAACAGATGAGTGCTATTACTCATCTTTTAGTGGTGGGGACGCAAGGTTCATAAGTAAAATGGGTTTTCATTCTTACCATTTACACCAAAAAAAAAAATAAATCTTGTAAGTGTACCTTCAAAATTATTTATGATCTCCTTTCCTCTAAATACAGATAGATTTAGTCATGTTGCTGCATTGCAGAATGAAGCAATAAAAGTTTTAATGGCAATGACTGTACGTGAACCCAAATTCTGTGTGCTGCTTTATTTTGCCACTCAATTCTAAAAAATTATTGCCATGGAAACTGAACACCATGCTTTGAGATCCATTAACAGGATTTTTAGTAACACCTACTCCAAATATTTCTGAACGTTTGCACACAGATATATCATCAAATTGTTATCTAATTCTTGAATATTAGTGATATTTTTCTTCTCCACGTCAGAGGCTTATGAAAAGTAGAAAGATTTTTCTTGTCCATGTACTTTTTTGTCAACTATCCTAATGCTGCAAAGAAAATAACGGCTAGTTATTATTCCTTTATTAAGCCCCACATTTTTCTCAAACAATTGATCTCTATTTGTAGGAGCATGAGGATATTAAAGACAGTTTCTCCTTCTGTGTAAAAGCTTGTAATAAGCCTATGTTTTCACTCATTGAAGCTGAGATTGCTAATGTGCTGTGTTACCTAGGATTATTCATAGGTTTGAGGAAAATGTATAATAGCTTTGTAAACTTTTAGAAGGAGATTTTTTGTTACTTATTCTTCTTACCACAATAGTACTCAAATAAAACTAAAAAAACAAAATCCCAACTCTGTTTCAAAATGAGAGGCAGGCTATACGGCCAGGAGCTTACTTTAAAAAAAAATTTCGAAAATTACTTTTTTTTCCACTAAGTGTTAGGACTTGCTGAATTCAAGACAAAAGCATGAGTATATGAAGGAGAGAGTTGGCAGTGTCACATGTGTGATCATTTGGAATCCTTTAGAATTCTCGGGTCACCCATAAGCTTCTGTTTCTACTTGATCACTTGTTACCAGGTGAACTTTATATCTGAATGTTTAATATTACTACTGGAATTACATAAAAACTTACTCTGTAATAATACTGCTGCTGAGCTATATTAACACATAGAATCATAGAATGGGTTGGGTTGGAAGGGACCTTAAAGATCACGTAGTTCCAATACCCCTGCCATGGGCAGGGACACCTTCCACATGTTGTAGGTATTACTTTTGTGAAAATTACTCAAAACGCTTTAAAATGTCAAAGTTTTCTTTAAAATGTCAAAGTAGCTAAAGCTAAGCGTGATACCAGAAATGGAGCGAGAAGTACTTCAGCAGCTCAGCTTGTAAAAGATAATCCCTGATCTTCTAATGAATCTTTCCAGTGTGTGCTTTCAACCTTTTCCTGAATTTTTGAAATACGATGAGTCATTCCAGTGATGGCTGGATTTCCTTTTGTTGCCTCTCTCTTGTAAATCCGTCTTCCATATTAGTCTAGAAGGCAGTAGAAGGCAGAAGTTTCTTATGCTGTGCTGTTCATTTTGCCTCCCTTGTTGTGGGGATTTTCTTTTATGTTGTTTTTTTCATTTTTTAAAACATAAATATTCCTAATGTAATAAATAGCCTGAAACAACAGAAGTCTGAAATGTGGAGACGAGTTTTGAAATTTTTCATATAAGCCTTCATTGAACACGCCTTACTATGGGAAGGGAGAAGGAGTGCTTCTACTTACATTTAAGCTCTAATGATCAGGGCAAAATCTGTACCTGCTTATTTTCAGTATTTTTGTTGAAAGTTATGTACAAGATATCATTAAATGTATATATAATAATAACTGTATAATTAACTCCAGTATTTTCAATAGGCCTGTTATGCTGCATCTGCTGTTGGATATTTGACTGGCAGGTACATTCCATATTTATTTATAATAATATTAACTATGTTAGACTCAACAGTTAGAAGCTAGGAATGTTTTTCTGTTTTGGAGCTGGGTGTTTTTAGTGTGTGCAGATGTAGGGCAGTTAAAATGGAACATGAATTTTAAAATAACTTGTCAATAACGGTTATCAATATTTCTGCTGCTGTGCTTCAGGGCAGGAACAAGGAGGTACTTAAGCTCATATAATATTGTCTATCTTATAACTTCACTTTCTCTCTTTTAATTTCTGAATAGTAGTTTAACACCACCAGTATCAGGGGCGGAAATCACACCACCATTGTTTGTTGTGACTTGGTGGACCTGCTATACCTTAATCTGATCATCTGGGCGTATTACTCAACAAATACCTTATCAATACAATGACTGATCATATGCCTTCCAGTCTCCTATGTGCTGCTTCTGACACAAAAGGCTGGCTTTTCCTCTTTTCTACTGCATTTTGCTTTTAATGTTGTTGGGAAGTGTTCTGTGGCCTGTGACTTGTGCTTCTTGGGTATCCCATGGGTCCTCCTCTAAAGTAAACATCAGGTGTCTGCTTGCTCACAATTGCAGACCCGATGATGCAAGTGATCATTCCTTATTCTGCCAGCAAGCATGATGCCTGTGTTACACAGTTTTGTAGTTTTTCTTCCTTTGAATAATCCTCTGGAAGTAAGCTGATTTTTTTTCTGATACATAAAGAGTCTGTAAAGCTACTAAAGAATGCTCAGTAGTAAGAATTGTCATTTTTATCTCATCACCTGGAATAACAAGTGCCCCTGCCTGAATTAAACTATAATAAACTTTGTGTTGAATCAAATGCACTTCTTCCTTTGTGAGCTTTCTTCATTGATACCTAGTGCTAAAGTGGAGTTGAGAGAACTGCAGACGTAAGTGGCTTACCAAATTCCATATAAATGCTAGATGATGGAGTAAATGCAATCAAAGAAGTAAGGAGCTGTGTTATGATGAGCCTGCATGTGTTACAGACCTCTATGAGGGTGGCACATAACAACTGCTCACTTGCTTTTTCAATTGGATTGATACAGGTAAATCACTTCTCATTCCCATGTCTATCTTTAATCCTTCATACAAACCCCTTGCCATTCATACGTTTTGATGACATGAGTAAAACTTTAATATTTTATATTTTGACATGTTACTAATTTGTGTTGGTGATCTATTCTGTGTTCCTTGTGCTCACTTTCCTTTTTCTCTATCTCTTTTTTTGTTTGTTTGTTTTTCTGTAGACCAGGAGTATGTCTTGTAGTGTCCGGTCCAGGTTTTTTACATGCCCTTGGTGGGATGGCAAATGCAACCATGAACTGCTGGTAATTTAACTACATTTTTCCTTTAAAATTCTGATAATTGTTTGCTGTTATTTGTTGCAGCTGTTGAGCTCCGCAGTATTTAGTACAGGACTTTTTTTTTTCTTTCTTGTGGGTAATAAGAAGAGAATTCTTCATTTATCAACCCTAAAAGTAATTTAGTTCTGTTTTTTGTATTCTCATGGATAAAATTCTCCTTTTTTGTCCTACCCCATATATTGGAAAATCTATCAGTATAGCTGATTGTGTGGATATATTTGAAAATGAAGTCGATATTCAGCCTGTTATGCTTTATTGATTGTGGAGAGTCCTAGAGGTTTTTTCTAAATTTAAATCCACAGTAGTAATTTGAATTACTGTATTTCATATGTGAACAAATTGACAACTGCATTGTTAAAATCTGTATTTGCTCCCCACGCAGACATTTAGAGCAGTAATTAAGTATTGAATTAAACTATGTACAGAATGATAGCATTTACTCCCACAAGCCTTCACAGAGTCATGGCAACTTTAGCTGGTCTGCCACTGAAAGCTGTTCAGAAAGCTGCGTGAGCTATTTTGGGTAGAAGCTCTGCTAATACTGTTGAGTTAACTGGGCCTGTTTCATTGGACAGCAGCATGAATACTTGGGCAGGCACTGTAGAGAAGGAGTGTTGCAAGGGAAGAGCAGGAGTAGCCCAAGGAAAGGAGATGAAAATACAATATACACTGAAGGGTTTGGTTACACCAATCTAATACAGAGTGCCACAAAAAGGAACATAGCTCCATGTCATCTCCACACCTTTCTCCTGGCCATGTGCTCCTGCTGCTTGCCCTCTTAACTGGCTCTGGCACTTGTCTGCCCCAATAATTACATTCAGTTCATTATTATGGCAATACGCTGAGCCAGCAAAAATATGTAAATAATGTCATGTTAGATAAGTGATCTAAATCAGTTCACTCTGCTGTCAGGCAAGCATCAAGCACCTAGGCGAGGGAGGGAGCAGATTATGCAGCTGGGAGCAGAGGTAAGATACATCCTGAAGTTCTCATCTCACCATGTCAGGGAATTAGAACTGAGACTTTTGATCTGTGGCAGAGAAACAGCCTGGTTAGGAAGCTTGCATCTAGATATATATATCCCTAGATTTTATGGGTGATTAAATTTAGCATTATATATTGAGCATGCCGTAAATGTTTCAGCTTAACACCTTGTATAGATAAATGCAGCTGAAGGAAAGGTGGTATCTGAAGAGAAATGGTTTAGGAGAAAAAGCGTAGAAAGCTATTGACCCATTACTGAGGATGAATGAGCAGATTAATAAGCCAGCCTTCTCTTATTAAGTCAGTATTTAGCATTTTAAGGAGTTTGAGTTTGACCTACAAACTGAATAAAAGGCCAGTTTTCGTTCACTGTAGGACAATAATTTATTGTATTTTCTGGAAATTATAATAAAAATGTGTTCCTGTGCTATATGTAACATATATTATAAACTAATGCTGCCTTTCTCACATAGCTATGAACTAATTTAAGAACAGGACACTAGTAGGCATGTTAAATTTTTGTTCATCTCTTTGGTCTTTGTGTTTTGGTTTGTTTTGTGTTTGGTGTTTTGGTTTGGGTGTGGGTTTTCTGGGATTTGGTGTTTTGGGGGTTTTTTTAGTAAAAACTGAATGCAGGTTGAAGTGCTGTCAGGTGCTCAGCTAATTTCTGCTGTGTTCCAGATTGTATACAATGACAATCTAATCTTTCCGAAAAGATTGTTTCCTACTGTGTTTCTTAGTTCTAGTGTTTATGCATGTTACAATGCCTCTAATGAGCAAACATCATCTTAACACTTTTTAGATCAATCAGTACTTTTTAGCTCTTTAGATTAGCTGTTGTCATTCCTCTCAAACCATCTTCTCACCCATGTTATCAAACTTTAATGAATATTGCTAGCAGTATGACTTGGTTTTAGAATTTTACTGCTAAATGCATTTAGAATTTTACTGCTAAATGCAGATCACTTAATACAGCCAGACTATCCTAAAACTAGTGACTCAAAAGCCGCTAGGAAGTCTACTGGCTCTCACACTGATGTTTAGAGTCCACTCCTGTGTAGTACTGGTCACTTTCTGTTGAGATCTGTGGATGCTGAAGGTGCACAAGGTCCCAAGAGCAGTAGGATTTTACCATCAGGAGAGTTTACAGATGTGATTGCAGTTATAAAAAATGTATGTATGCTTAAGTTTGGCTTTTTTGTTATTTATTTTTTATACACTTTTCTAGGCCTTTGATTGTTATTGGAGGCTCTTCTGACAGAAATCAGGAAACCATGGGAGCTTTCCAAGAATTTCCACAGGTATGCAGACATACAGCTTTGAACAAAAAGATTTCAGTTAAATAATTGGTGGGGTTTCTTCATTAGTTTACGAATAACAATCCCAAACACTGACATTTCCTAACAGATCTTATCATACTGTTAGCTTGCTCCCTCTACTGGTTTAAAATTGATACTGCATAAATACAGCAGGTTATTTGGAATGTCTTTGTTCACAGTCATGTTAGAATTCATGCTCTGTTTTCAGTTCTCAGCTGGTATATACTGCTGTTGTCTGTCTGTTCTGAGATGGAAGAATGCAAAAGAAGCTTTCCAAGAAAAGAACCACCACTTTCTGGAAATAAATACTTAAGTACTCAGAGGAATGAGTATGGCTTTGACAGTTTCCACCAGCTGAGGAACTGCATTTTTTTATATGGGAGTCTTCAACTTGTTGCTTTCCATTTGGCATTTTTTCTGGTTTATTCATGTTGAAATGAGATGGAAATGAGCAAATGACTTTGATAAATCAATGTGGTTATCTGCATTTATTCAGGTTGAAGCTGGTAGGCTGTACAACAAACTGTCTGTCCGCCCAAGCAGCATAGAAGTCTGCTGTTATTGAAAAGGTATGAAAAAATACTAAATTAGCAACAGAACATCAAGTGACGGTTTCCTACTATATAAGGTTTGGGGGTTCATTTTTTGTATAGCTGTCACTGTAAATAGCTTGATCCTGCAGATGTTAGGTGATGGTTGATTGAGTAAATTAACAACTAGGGAGGTTTTTCCCATGATCTGTGCTATGGAACACCTTAGAAATAGGTTCTGGTCCAATCTGATGCTTACTGATCTGTGCAGTGTTTTTGTTAGCTTCAGTAAGAGCTGGAAAATTTTTATGAGAGAATTGTTTTTAGGGAGAGGTGCAATAACTAGAAATGTGATACTACAAAATTCAGCTCTTTTTACAACTCTTATTATGTGAAGGTCATTTAGAGGTGGGGCGGTGGAGATGGTTGTATTTGCTTTTTGGGTTTGGTTGTTGGTTTGGTGGGGTTTTTTTGAGAGAGTGAGAGAAAACAAATCCTTGTCTCAGTGCTTCAGAAAGCGTTACAGAAGTCTTAGTACTGCTGTAGCAACACTTCAGTCATGTCAGCCTAAATTCTGCGTATAATGATACTGTTTCCAGAAGGGCAAATTCAGCAGAGCATCTACTTGTAATAGAAGAACTGGAATCAAAAGTAGTAGAAAATAGGGGCATTTGTTGTCTTGTGTTTTCTCTGTGCTACTTTGAATAGAATTCAGCATGAAAGTTTAATTTGGTATTTCCAAACACAACAGCTGAAAATGCAGTTGTCATAAATTAAACAAAGAATTTACAGTCTAATACTGTGCATCTACTGAAAGGCTTCAGCTGGCGTATAGGGGAAAATGTAAATGGCTCTCAAAACTTGAATTTATTAGTATAAATCAATCTATGGGAGCTTTCCCTGTGGTGGTTCAGCAATATGAAACAGCGTGTTCCTTCTCAGCATACAGAAGGGTTTTCTTGGTTTTTACACATAAAAATTTTTTAAATCCTTTCAAATAGTGGTTAAAACTGTGATTATCTGTTTTCTAGGCTGTAAGAACCAGCATATATGGTCGTCCAGGTTCCTGCTATATTGACATACCTGGTGATTTTGTGAATCTTCAGGTGAATAAGAGCTCTGTCAAGTGCGTAAAGATTATATTCATTGTTTTTCAAGTCACTGAATAAAAGAAATTTTAGTTTTAAGTTACTTTTGTATTTTCTTTAAGCAAGAAAAACATAAACAAGAGCAGTAGATCAAATAATTTGCTACAGGGTTGAGATGATACTAAAAATCCAGCCTTTAAATTCAGCCTGTTACGTTCCATCGTAACATGTGGTAACAACATGTGCGAAAAAGGAATGAATTAATATGATGGTAATACAATGATGTCACTTTGTAAATCTCTGGAACAACACTATCTACAAGATTAAAGAAACATGCAAGAAAACCTTCAAAGCCTATTTTAAAATATATATGTATATGTATATCCTGTTCTGATAAATACTGTAACATGGTATGTAGCAATTGCAGTTTTATGCTAAACAAGAGGTTTTATCTTTCAACATTTCTTGTTTTGTATTTTTTAAAGAACCTCTTTCATGTTGCTTGACTTCCAGGTACGTGGAATGCTGCCTGCCACCTCCTGTCAGCATGGCTGAATTCTCTGCTGTATCCGAAGCAGCGTCTATCATTGCTCGTTCCAAGCAGCCTCTGCTAATCATTGGCAAAGGTAGCATGCTTTGAACTGTACACGTTCTTGTCAAGAAAAACAACCAAAGTGACTTCTTTTCCCCATAAATGTTAGCCATCTCCTTTCCTATTAAACAAACAAACACAACTCCCCCCCCCACAAACAAACTTCTTTGAAATTTGATGTTAAAATCTGCTCTGGTTTTAGAATATTTTTATTCTGTTGTATAACTGATGTCTTTTTCATCTAGTTTAAGATATAAGTCAATTGATAAAATACAAGTTTAAGTAGAAAAAAACCCCAGATAACCATTGTCATAAGCCAATACTAAGGGATCACTTCCAAAATTCCAAGCAAATTCTATTAGAATACAGAAGTGATATTCTCTGTGTGATGCTCTGGCATATATAGCAAGAATCAGAATAGCCAAAGGTCATTTTCCCATTTGGACTTGCTGAAAGTGCCAGCCTACCTGTGTGGAAACATGAAGCGAAACAGCAGGTGTTGCTATTGTTGCTGTTTTACAGACTTTCCATTGTACTCTGCCAGTGTATTTCATTCCTGAAATAGAGGTGTTCCTAAAGATAGAGGATAATTATACTCTGTGCTGGTTCACTTTTGTCCCTCCTTGTGGAATGTTAGTCACTACAGTGGCATTTCTGTTGAAGATACATGTCTGCTAAGGAACAGAATTGAAATAACCAACTTGTTTCGCCCAGGCTGTTTTCCTGTAGATGTGGGTTCTATGTTTAATCAGGGAGTGAAATGATTGAGATGAGATGGATATTATCATCGATTAGGGAATGAAATAGTAGACAGAAGGTAGATCAGGAGAGGGGGTTTTGTCTCCTCTCTCTGGCGTGATACACATGAACAAAAGGATGTTCTTTGAAAGTGAAAGGTAGAAAACACAAATACATAGATATGTGTTTTGTTGATGTCACATTTGTAAGTAGATTCTTAATTGTTACCTGGACTTTGTGCTATATATTGTTGTTAACAGAATTTTTGGAAGAAATACAGAAGTTTATTATTCAGGGTTTAAGACTCATGGACTTAAGTCATTGCACAAGGACCAGTCAGTTATTCTAGATTGCCTGGGCTACCTTAATTCATCAGCCTTATACTGAAGGTAGTATCACCATAAATGTATCCACAAACACATATCTTTACAAGGTGGTCTTTGAGCTCTTTTTTTTGTTAAAGGCTTGTAGTAGACCTGTTTGGACAGATTGTTATGGAGCACTTGATAAAACAACATGCAGGGGGCAGGCAAAAACTGACATGACGGAACACAAAGGTCATCATCTGTTGCTGCTGCAGAAGTCTGTGCCCAAAAATACTGAACTTCACCCACTCAAAAGTGTCATTTTAGATAAAAGAATCTCCTATTTTTCCCTGCCCTGCTTTACAGAAATAACTAAATAGTTCAGCTGAAGTCTTACAAAAGAAAAGCTTTTGTCAAAAATAGGGGAAATTTGAACCTGTAGTTTGGCTTATGTTTTGAGTTCTCCAGAATGAAAAATAGCAAGTAACTTTCATACTGGGAAATAGTACTCTTTCTGCCACTAATGTTATCAGGTTAATTGAAATTCAAGCGAATATAGTAGGTTTCTGTAGTATTAAGTAGTCTCTTTCATTTCATTCAGGTGCTGCTTATTCACATGCTGAAAACAACATCAGAAAGTTGGTGGACCTTTGTGGACTGCCTTTTTTGCCTACACCAATGGCAAAAGGAGTAGTTCCTGATAACCATCCAAATTGTGTAGCTGCAGCAAGATCAACGTAAATATAAAACAAGGCTTCTAATCCTAACATCTGAGAAACAACTAGGAATTGTGGTGGTCTACAGATGCCAGGGAAGACAAAATGCAGACAACAAAAATTTTTTTCAGCCACATTTTGCACCTCATTTTAGAGCACTGAAGATCTTGCTTGGAAAGAGACAACAGATTTAGGTGGATCACTTTTGACAATGCTTAGAATGCTGGCCAGGAAGATGCTTTATCTGAGAGCTAATATTCTGTAACTGTGAAACCTATGGCAAGTAGATGTATCGGTGTATTTCATAACTTAAAATGAAACCGGTAAACAGTTTATGTTAAACATTTAATTGAGTGCACTAGACAAACTACTAGCTTTTTATTTTAACATCATAAACAGAAGCTTAAGATGCACACGTTGCAGTTGAAGTTTTGCTATCTGCTGTCTCTGCATGGGGTTTGCAATATGCTGTCACTAAATTGCAGTTTAGTTAAAAAGAAAAATAAGGTATTTCAAACTACATTGAAGGACTGTGTTTAAAGTAACTTTTAAGAGCTCTTTCTGGCTTTTTACAAAATTAATGTGAACGAACTATAAGAACCCTACTAGGTATGAGTATGCACAGAGTCAGCTTGCAGATGGAGCATTTATATACTTTGAGATTAAAATATTGTCTGTTGTTGAGCATCTTAGCTTTATCACTGTTAAGCATGCTGTTAAGAAAAATGGAGAATAAAAGAACATGCCAAATACTATCTGCCCAGCTGAAAAGTAATCTAACAGGAGTCTAAAATGAGAGGTCCACAGCAATCTTAATTTTGGCTCCTGCTGTTGCCAATATCACAGTAGTGAGCCTTTTGCTTTAACCTCAGCATCATTATAACGTCTTGTTGGTCTCCTAGTGCAATGATTCTGTTCCCAAACACAGTGTATTAGGAAAATAGTAATTCGTTTTCTTCTCGAGTTCCTAAACTTAAGAATGGCTTGAAGATTGGCTCTGTAAAAGGATACATGGTTTTGGAGCTAAGCAAGCGGCTTAGAGAAAAGAAGGATTATATTCTGGGGTTTGTTGTGGTGGTTAGGATTGCTTCTAATTTTGAAAATACTATTAAATTTAATAATAATTCCCCTTTCTGATTCTCTTATTTCCCTTTATTAGGGCATTACAACACGCTGATGTGATCATCTTGCTTGGTGCAAGATTGAATTGGATTTTGCATTTTGGTCTTCCACCAAGGTTTCAACAAGATGTGAAGGTTATTCAGGTAAGCAGGAAAGTGATTATCACTTGAAGGAAATCCTCGGTGTTCTAGCATTGCCTAGACCAATTACTGTAAATTACGTTGGTAATGTACTTCATGTGCTAAATACAGCCCTATGGACAGTGCAGTACAGCGCATGTAGTTATGGTAGTTCTTCAGAAATAGTTCTGATTTTAATTATCTTTTTACTTATTTTTTATAAAAATGGTTCCAGCTATCAAGGACTTGGTGCTGCTGTAATGAGGAGGACAGACGCTTCTATGTAGTTGACTAATACAGGATTAGACTCATGATACCTGTGTGATCTTTGGAACACTGGAACTTCCGTGACTGAAAGCAAATTTTCTTGAAATTGGGAAACTTTTCATACTGTTTGACTGCTCTCTCAGCTGGATTTTTTTGAAATAGAGTTACTTTCAGATCCAGAGTCAGTCATCATAAGAGCACAGTCACTCAGAAATCTTAATAAGAGAAGGAAAGGCTATTTAACTAATTAATGTATTTGGCAATCTGCCAGCTCTTAGAAATACAAGTTGTTAAATTGTTTATGTCCTTAAAATCCCCTTAGAGTCTGTGATCAAAGAGTAGTAGTTGATTTCCATGTGCTGACTGGCCTCCCTTCAGTGATCTAGAACATACTCTCAGCTTCCAAACTTTGCATCTTTTCCTGAGGAATAGCATAAATTTTTAAGCTAGAATGCCTTTTGACTTATAATACATCTTTTATGTTTCCTTTTTTCTAAAGAATGTAAAGTATTTTTTCATCTCACAGTCATTTTTTTCCACTGTCAAGAGTTAGTATTAAAACACTGATTCAGTTCATGGTCTGTGTGACTTGGTCATAAATTAGTATTCCATGTGACCTTAGAGGTCTTGTACGTGACTGATAAAGTGGGGAAGCTTCTTCAGTGGTCGCAATTTACTTTTCAATTTCTTCATACTAGCTAAATTCTTACTGCCACACAAGTTGGCATACACAAACTTTTCTCAGTAAGAAAATTACTGCTTTGAATAGGCTTTGAGGGTTTACCTAAGCCTAGATTTTTAGTTCTCACATAATTGCCACTAAAATCACCTCCTTCTCCTTAATGTTGTTATAAAGGTCTATACTGTCTGAAAGAGCTTGAAAGAAGCAAGCAGTCAATTTTAAGGATATACATGAATTTTTATTAAAACGAGTATGTACCATAGGATTTTACTTTGAATAAAGCATTTCCTGATGTCATTTTAATGAAAGGCAGAAGTAGTTATCTGTACAGCCGAAACAATGTATGAAGACGTTGTTAGACAATGTTCCTCACTTGAACTGAAAAAAACCAAAAATCTCTTTAATAATCCTTGAGTTAATGGTGGTCTTTCTTTTTGAAATATAGATTGATATTTGTGCAGAAGAGCTTGGGAATAATGTGAGGCCAGCTGCAATTTTGTTAGGTGACATAAACACTGTGACTAAGCAGGTAATGTAATGTCAAGTGTCCTCTTGTTTTGACCTTAATTTCCTCTGATTTATTTATATATAAGTAAGTTACCAGTTAAAAAAAAAAAGAAGAAAGAAACTAAAAAACTGTTCAAGGAAAACCATATTTCAGGCAACATACTCATGCTGTGCATCCAGTCTATTCCCAAATTAAATGTTAAAGATTCTGATAAGTGTTATTGTGATTGTGCTGGGATCTTTCTTGGTAATGTTATTCTTGATGCTCGTGATGTTTTTTTAATTATATTGGAAGAAATCTCTGCAACATTTCAATGTTGTTTCAGCTCTTAGAAGAATTCAGCAAAAGACCACTGAAATATCCTTCTAATTCAGAGTGGTGGAAGAAGCTGAGAGAGAAAATATCTACCAATGAGGAAAGATCAAAGGTAGTGTTATATTAAAAAGAGGAAGTTTCTCACTTTAACAGGTACTGATGCACAGTCACTTCTGTCATTGGTCTGTATCCAGGCTCCTCCATTACTTCTGACAGTCATATTTCCCAGACTTTGAAAATTTATGCCATTCTGGTTTACTCTTACTGCCTTACTCTTGTCTGGCTTATGAACTGTAAGTTAAGTCTTAATTGTAAGTTAGGTATTCTAGGTTTTGTATGAATTCAGACTATGTGGAAGTCATGGAACTTTGGGATGGGGTTATTAAAGCCAGTAGCAGACCACCACAGTGAGAGCTACTGTATCACGTGCGGTGACTTCTAAGCAATGGGCAGATACTCCAAGTGAAAGCTAGCTTATGTGAAGATGCATTCTTTTCTTCTGTAATTGTGCTGTTTAGCTGTTTAGTAATGCTGGTGGAAGTATGATCTATGTTAAAAGCAAGTAGCTATTAAGGCCAAAAGACCACAGATGCTTGGCATATGCCTAACTTCTGTGCAGTTCATATTCTGCAAGTTCAGGTGCATGTTTCCAAGATAGGGATCTAAACCAAATAATTTCTAGCAGATCACTCCTTTGAACTCCCTCCCAGCATACAGATGACAACTCAGTTAGGGCTATCAGTACTCAAATGTGCAGAAAAATTTCACATGCCTCTCAGGTTAAACTGATTTTTAATGATAGGCCATCCAAGGGTTGCTGAGCTGAGTGAGCCTCTGATAAATACATTGCGTCACCAGGATAGATACGGAAGGAATGGCTTTGATGTAGTGCATGGAAGACCAAATACTTCAACCTTACCTAGCAGAGTGCATTGTTATTTCCATTGTTATTATTTACATGTCTCAGTACTGCACCTTATTATAAATTCTATGCATAGGAGTTACCAATATCTCTTATTTTTAAGGGATTAGCGTTACAGAAATTGCTGCCTATGAATTACTACACAGTCTTTCATCACATCAGAGAACTGATACCCAAGGACTGCATCTTAGTAAGTGAGGGAGCAAATACCATGGACATTGGACGAACTATGCTTCCAAATTACTATCCCCGTCAAAGGTGTGGTATTTTCTTTGTTGTGCTGACTCAACAGGCTAGATCTATGTATAATTTTTTTCATTTAGCTGAGAAGTATGATGATCCAGAATTTTTTAAATCCTTTTTAAAGGTTCTGAATAAAAAATTAGCTGAGAAGTATGATGATCCAGAATTTTTTTTAATCCTTTTTTAAAGGTCCTAAATAAAAAATAAAAGTTTAGTATGTTGGGAGAGGAGTTAAGGGAGGTTTTTCATTCATATAATGATGTCGTGTCATAGGTTTTAACAATTCTCTGCAACTTGTCTGTGTGCTTTGCAATGGAACGGCGATAGTTTCTCTCTCTTTTGTGGAAAGTGAGTGAGGAGCATCATGTTGAATCCCCTGATCTAGATGTTTATTGCTGTGCTCAGAGTCTGTGATAAATACTGATTTTAAATAAAACCAATCATTGGGATTCTCATGCTGTAAAGAATTCATACGAAGAGTTTTTCTTTGAAACACACTTAAAAACAAGGAAAACCTAAGAAGAATCAACTTGTTTTGAAAACTGGATTATATATCGGGCACACTTTCCTGTAAACGTGCACGCCTAAAATGTAGGCACTCAAATTTGGAAGTGTTTGTATGTCACTTTAATCATTATGCGTAATCTAATTTAAGTAAGTAGGAATTAAGTGCTGTTTCTTGAATGAGGGGAAAAAGTGAGTTCTGTCTGGTGAGGTGAAACTTTTGATCTGACTGTGAAGCTTGTACCCTCTTGTGAGAGTAGCACTAAAGTCATAAGTGAACCTAAATACTTCTTTGTAAACAAAAAACAACCAAACAAACAAAAACCCTACTTCCATTAAAATTGGGGGAAGAATTTGCGGGGTTTTTTCCCCCTTATTTCAAGTAAGAGCATAGTAATGTTAATGGTTGCTTTTTCAGATTGCGTTGTGCATATCTGAAAGCAAATTTGAAAAGTTAACCCTAGAATAATCTAGTTCTTTATGTACTTCTATATCCATTATGTGCTTCTGACTGAAATGATCTAACATAATTACAGCTTTCAATTTGATTTCAAAAGTTGAACAGAAGACTAAAATTTGAACAGCAGTATTTAACGGATGGCTTTCAGACTTCTAGTTATATTTTCAAGGAATTAAATATAGAAAGATTTCATGTAGTCTGCCTATCTCTACAGTAATTGAATGTTTTTGAAATATTGTTACTATGCAAGCTAAAAGCATACAATAATAGTTCTTTATTGTAGTACCACTAGTGTATAAGAGGTCTTAATTTTAATTAGAGTTCCAGTATGCTTATATCATTAAAACATTTGCAGTCTTACCAAAAGTTTGATCGAATATAATAAAAAATACATCTAGTATCTCTCTATACCAATTGTTTATGAAACAGTATTTTAATAGTATATGGCAAATTATTAAAAGTAAAGACAGGTCACCATGGATTAACTTAAAAGTTTGAGTAGAAATAAAGGGATAGTAATTCTCTATTTTCCCCTTTAGGCTTGATGCAGGTACTTTTGGAACGATGGGAGTTGGATTGGGTTTTGCTATAGCAGCTGCAATGGTAGCTAAAGACCGAACACCTGAAAAGCGAGTCGTCTGCATAGAGGGAGATAGTGCATTTGGATTTTCTGGGATGGAGGTGGAGACTATTTGCAGGTAACTGGTTTTTGTTCAAGAAGACCCTCTTCATATATTGCCAGGATCCAGTTAATGAGAAGGCCAAGGACGCTGCTGTTAGATGGGGTACTCTTAAAAGCACGTGAAAACAAGCCAAAAAATATATGTAGTTGGTTTTATGCTGTTATGACTTAATGTGTTACCAGTGATAAATAGATCATGTTTCAGTTGGGAGTTTGTTTGGGTTTTTTTAAATTCTTTTTTTATTTATTTGTTTTCCTTTTAAGGAAAAGTAGCACTCTTAACACCTTAACAGAAAGATGCAAGTGTCCTGGTTTTGGCTGGGATGGAGTTAAATTTTCTTCCTAGCAGCTGGTATAGTGCTGTGCTTCAGATTTAGGATGAGAATAATGTTGATAACACACTGATATTTTAGTTGTTGCCAAACAGTCAGGGACTTTTCAGCTTCTCATACTGCCTGGCCAATGAGAAGGTAGGGGGTGACCAAGAAGCTGGGAGGAGGCACAGCCAGGACAGGTGACCCAAACTGGCCAAAGGGATAGTCCATACCATATGACATCGTGCTCACTATATAACGGGGGAGGGGGGTGGGTGTTGGCTGGGAGGCAGTGTGGCTTAAGGAACTAGCTGAGCATTGGGCCCAGGTGGTGACCAGTTGTGCTGTGCATCACTTATTTTGTGTACTCTTTTAGCAGTAGTAGTAGTACTTGTTGTCATCTTCTTCCTTTTCTGTCCTATTAAACTGTTTTTATCTCAACCCACGAGTTTTACCTTTTTCTTTTCAATTCTCTCCCCCATCCCACTGGGAGGTGGGGAGCAAGCAAACAGCTGTGTGGTTGTTTTAGCTGCCTGCTGGGTTAAACCACAACAGCAAGTATTTCAGAATTCTTCCAAATGCATCTTTTTGTAGATACAACTTGCCAATCCTGATTATCATAATAAACAACAATGGGATTTATACTGGTTTGGATGCAGATGCCTGGAAGGAGATGCTAAAGTTTGGAGATCCTGCTACATGGTGAGAATCTTCAAAGTATGTCCTGTTAATTAAGGAAGAAGTGACCAAAATGATCGTTCTCTTCACTTCTAATGCTTTGTGATCCAGATTGAACTCAATCCTAGGCTAAGTTCATATAAGAAAGAACCAGTTACAAAAAGCAAGCAACCAACCTAATTCCAGACTATTGTTTACACAACAGTGCAACAGAGAGATGACTCTATTAATTGTCTCAGGTTCCTGCAGTAGTTCAGGCCACCCAGTACAGAGTTCATAGTGGGCTACCCTCCAAAATCACAACAATCTCCAAAATTACCTGAGACTTGCATTGTGAATTTAAACTGGGCTGCTGCTTCTGGAGCTGAGATCTCTGTACCAAGAGAATTAGTCTAAAGCTTTGCTCAGGAATGTCTCCAGAAGATGAAAATGAGTATGCTACTCTATAAACGTAGCTGAAGTGGTATAGGAAACATAGTTCTTCCAGCCCAGAAGAATTCATCAGGCCAGCACAATAAATATCTTACACTTTAAAATCAGTGCTGAAGTAATTGGTCAGTCTGGCAATTCTTCCCTGCCATTAATCAGAGGTTTTCCTTTTCATTACAGTGTACCTCCTGTTTCTCTCCTGCCAAATTCACACTATGAGGAAATTATGTCTGCCTTTGGAGGTAAAGGATACTTTGTTAAAACACCAGAAGAACTGCAGAATGCTCTGAAAGCAAGCATCACTGACAAGCAAACACCTTCTCTTATAAATGTAATGATTGATCCACAGTCTGAGAGAAAGAAACAGGTATTTATACGTTTTCCTTTCTTTTTCTGCGAGCTGCATGTGGGCAAGCCTCTGAAATCCTCAGGAAGTATCACTTAAACAGCAGAGATAGTTGCAAGGCAGAAAGATTGTCTTTAGATTTGGGAGATAGGAGAATGGGTGCTTTTCACTGTGCCATCTGCTTTCCTTGTTTTTTGTATTAATGCATAGTGTCTTTAATGACTGTTTCCAGAATTTATGGTTGTTCCTTTCCCTTCCTGACAATATGAGACAATATGTTTTTGAGCAGTCTTTATTTCCTGTGGATTCCATCTGGTAGTTAATACATATTTGTATCCTCTTCCTCTTACTGTTTGTCCATTCTGATATTTTTTATTCTGTTTTTTTTTTCTTCCAGGAATTTCCGTGGCTGACTCGTTCTAACCTGTAGTAGAAGATGAAGATAATGGTGGTGCAAGGCAGTGCATTACGCAAAACTAAATTGGTTTCTAAAGTGGAACTGGTACAACTGTCTTTTACATAAGCATTGGAACAAAGTGGGATTTTAAAACTGCAGTTAGAGGAATCTTTAATGCCAAAATTAAGTAATTGTAATTGAAATTAATTAATTGTAATTGAATTAATTAATTAATTGTAATTGGAATTAATTACTTAAGTAATTGTAGTTGAAATTAAGTAATTGTAAAATGAACAAGACACACATGAATGTATACCAGGCCTTCTAGCAGATTGTACAGAATCACTGATAGTAAAATTACATACTCTTAGTCAGAGTTGTACCCATCAAGGTTTGTGAATTAAAATCTTGGATGTTCTGGATGAAGGGAGTAAGCTGAGGGTTTTATACTGACAGAAACATAGAAGTCTTTGGCAGTCTGCAGTTATAGTAACTTCATTTTTAACCAGCATACTGCTTGTTAGAGACTTTGTCCTGTAAGGACCAAAACAAAGCATCTTGTTGTGAAAAAGTGCTGATTGGCCTTATTATGCATTGAAGCCCATTGTATTGATAGTCACTTCACAGTTTTACAGGTTGCTTTTTCAGCCTCTACTGCATGTAGAAGTAGTATATTACAAATGCAAACTGACTCAAGGGCTGAGTTTGTTGCGTTTGGTTTTGTTAATTGGGACTTACGGTGCTGGCAGGAAAAAAAAAATCTTAGATTTTTGTTTGAAGCTTTGCTCTTTGCAAAGGCGCTATCATCCCTGTAGGCTGAAAACAGAACTGGATTTATTAATAGATCATAAATCTTTCTAATCAGAAGTATTAAAAAAAAAAAAACAAACCAAAACACACCACCACCAACAAAAGCACAAAAAAAAAGGACCAAAAGCAAAAAGCCCCTCACCAAAACAAACAAAAAATTGTTAGGCTGGAGCTTAATGTGCAGTTTAGCTGGCATCACTAAGCAACCACCAGCATTCATGCTGTGGCTGTCTTAATTGTGCAACAAAGGTTCTTCATATAATGTACTTACTGTATAGAAACTCAGTGCCCAACTCACGCTGGCTGTGATGCAGAGCAAACATTTAAACAGGTAATCGGCGTGCCTGAGGTTCTGTCTACTGTGTTTTCATCTGTTGTTGCATCTGACAATCTGATTTAGAGCTCTGACTTTAAAAGCAAAGTAGTTCTTTCTCTACGCTGCTCTCATGGCCTACAGCAGCTACTATTCAGTATACTACTAAGCAGGTTACTTTATATTTTCATCTGTTCATAAATGCACTGGGAGGATCTTTGTTGTTACATATGTAAAAAGGAAAATTCTGGCTCTGATTAGGGTTTTGATTGCTTTATTGTCTATTATACCATTGATATCAAGTGTTAGTTAACTAGTGGAAGGCATGTGGATGACCCAAGGAAGAAGAGGACTTGACTTGACCTAGCAGGGGATCCTGGCCTGCAGTTAGGTTTATTGCAAAAAGCTTGGCTTATTAGTTCTTGCACTTCAATCCAGGTCTGGTACGAGGTCACGGGCTACTGTTAGGCAGAGGAATGTCTCTGCGCACTCGTGCAGAAAATTAATATCTGACATGAGCAAGAGTACTGCAGTCTGACTAGAGACCCTTGTTACGTGTGTGGGAATACACACGTGGCACGATGAATGCTTGAGTCAAGAAAGGTAATATCCTTAGGAGGGCTAAGAAGTGCAAAAAGATAAAATCCATAAAATGGATACAAATCATGAACAAATGTAAAGCCTCTGAGATGGCAGAGTTGCTGTGTTCGCAGGGGTACTCTGCAAGGAACGTGGAACAACATCGGGTCTTGTCACCTATTTTCTTTCTTTCTTCTTTTTAACTCTCAAAAACTGATTTTAGTATGTTGCAGTGATTAAACACAATCCATTATGACAATGTAAAATATCTGTAAGAGTTAATGCGGGGACTGACCATGGGGGAGATCATTTGCATTGGATAAGCAAATTCAGAAATTCTTGTCTTATATTTGAAAATTAATAAAAAGGGATTTTCATACTCTTTCTCCTTTAATGACGGTATTTTAATTACACTGGCATTTTGTGTCAGCTGTTGGAAATCGGCTTATGTTGGAATTTTAGAAAAGCTGTTGAATAACCACAATAACATGCACAATTCATTTTAATAAGTCAAGACGCCTGGAAAATGAAAAGCAAAATTTTGAAACTGTGGAGAGGCAATGATATAATTGATAACATCAGTTTGGATTTCACTGAGCTTTTGAAAAGCTCAAAAAAGAATTAACACTGCATTTCTTATAGCTTTAAAATAGACTGATACCACAATATAATGGAAATTCTTAGGTTGTAATGATTAGGTTTTTTGAGACGAGAGAGTGCACAATTTCCATATAAAACCAAGGAGAGGGAAATCTGTACTACTTCGTTTATATAGATTACTTTATGCCATGGAGCTGCATCTAAGAGGAGTGTTAGGCAGATAGAACTACATGAAAGAAAACTGTTTCAGAGAGGAGACAGAAACAAAGTATCTCTGAAATAGCCTAATTTTATTAAAAGGCACAAAAAATAACAGATGTCTTAAGTCTGGGGAATGCTGACCCATATGGCTTTAGCCAACTGGAAATTTTTCTTCAAGGCCAGAGCACAGAATTAAAGGTATTTATTGAACAGGCTCAAGACACCAGACGCAAGAGGAAGAAAATACCTGGGCCTCAGCTGAGGGAAGATGCTGTGGAAGAGATACTGGGTATAGTTTACTGAGACGTACCAGAAGTTAGTATTTAAATAAGGCACAGTTCTGAGTCTTTTTCTTATTATAGCTTTCAAGTAAATAAAGAATATTTGAAATTTTACTAGACCTGTTGTGGGTGACCTCCATCAATCATTAGTCTAGTTCCTGTGAAAACTTTTCTTACAGGGGTCTGTGCTCAGTTCATGTTGTGGAGAAACCCAGAGGTTCAGGCCAGCAGCACTTGTCCTCTTCAAAGAGAGGACACTGGCATGCATGAAAGGGGTTGGAACCAGGGACCAGCAAGGTGCAGGAAAAGTATTACAGAGACGTCCAAAAGCCAGCAGGTAATTTAACTATGGGACCACAGGTGAAACCACCAGCAGCCACAACAAAATGGCCAGGTATAGGGAATAAGAAGTAAGGTTTGTTACTGTCTCAGCACCTCACAAGATAGTTCAAGGTGTTCGGTATGTCTTCCTGCAGCCTCTTTGTGTGCTCAGCTTGCTAACAGGTTTAGTTTGCAGTAATTGCTAACTTTTTAATGGTTATGTTTCACCTTTAGTCTGCAGTGAATTCTGTAGACTGCCCTGTGATCATCTGGGTATGTGTCATGTATGCTTGCCTTCAGTTGTTAGGGCCATATAGCATATATCCATTCTGGTGAGGAATCAGATGTACGCTTGGTCTGGCTAGATTTGGTTTTAAGCGCACATGCAAAATGTTGTGGTTTTACCCCAGCCGGCAGCTGAGCACCACGCAGCCGCTCGTTCACTCCCCCCCATCGGGATGGGGGAGAGAAATAGAAAAGTTAAAGTGAGAAAACTCGTGGGTTGAGATAAAGACAGTTTAATAGGTAAAGCAAAAGCCGCGCGCACAAGCAAAGCAA